ATAATATTGGAAAATAATAGTTAAAACTGGTTGGATACTTTATTAAAGATTATCCAGTTGAATGGATTATTTGCTTGTGAAGGCATGACCCAAATTGTACCTATCATTTCTTATCGCGCTGCAGAAACAGCAAATTACGGAACATTATCCTGGGCGCTTTGCAACTTCAAGTCGTACATTTTACCCGGCGTCTTTTGAGTGACTAATATGCTACCAGTTGAGCATTATTACCGGTTGCGACGAACCCTATCTCCTTTGTGTTGTCAGCTCGCTACGTTTGCCACCGCTCGTGCCCGCCTTGATTACACTCAGTATATTTGATTCTAATATTTTATCAATCTATACATTCGATATCTACGCTTTTATTCGATATCTATTGCCCCTGGAAGCTTGCACATTGAAACAACTCTCATGATTTAATTAGCTGCGAAAGAGAATATGATTACTAACATTATACGAAAGAACCTTTCCTGTTTGTACCAATAAAATAGCGCTTTTAGGGAATTAACTTCCAAATGTTCTTGATATAATTGACATATGTTCCATTAATATTCAAAGGAAAATGTGTGTGCAAAATTGTTCGAAAACACGAAATACGAAGCGGACTTATATAAAATTATTAAATGTTCGTGCTTTCTAGCGTTTTTCTAGTGAATGCTTGACATGGTCTTAGTTGGTTTTAGTCAAAATTTAGTAAAAATCCGCGCTTAAAAAGAACTGCATAAAAATTATAATAACATGGAGTTGAACATGAACAGCGTTTGTCAGCAGCTAAAAACATACATAAAATATCACAAATTGACACTATCAGGGGAATAAAGTTCTTCGAATGCAAATTAAAGTAAGGAATGCCATCCTAATTACGTCGCAGTAGCAATTGAGGGGATTGCGTGGGGTGGTGATGGGACGTAGCAGGTGCAGCGACCTTATCATTGCGACGAGCGACGAGCCATCGATCGCAGGTCCTTGGTGCCGCCGTGTCAAGCGCTTGCCGCCCGACGATTAATCTTTGCAATTGAATCTCTGGCAGCAACGTTTATTCTTACTTTGTGTTTATGATGCTTTAGTTATCAGCGCGACTGCAAGACAGCAAATGATAAGAATTTTAACAGCCAGGCTTTTTAATCTGATTTAATACCGACTCTATTGCGAGGAAAATGATAGTGTAATTCAGACTTACTATTTCTTTTACGACCTCTCCAAATAATTACGTGCTCCCTAATTATTCCGACAGATGTTTTTTGCAACTGGAATTTATTTCATGTTATATTTTCAAAACACTTATTTTGAAATCAATACATGTTCATCTTCAATGAATAAATCGACGTTACGGTGTGCACGTGTTTATCAACGACTTTAGTATACGTGGCTTTGAGAAGAATTATTATTGGTTATACCGCTAATGAGTTAAAGCTCGAAGCGCTTGCGAATAATAACTTTCTTCATTTGGAGTCCCCAGACGATTGACGATGGAATTAATTCATGAGTCTCCACGAAAAGTTAAAATGAGTAATGCAAATATTATTCGAGCTTTGCTTCCGGCGCTCGAAAAATAAAAAATATCTTGTGTTTCTGAGGTCCGAGGACCCAACAAGATGGGCAATGTGCAAATACTGCGTCTGGCACTCAGCGGCCGCAACAGAACTACGGCAACAGACCCTCTGGAATTTATCCCCTTGCCATGAAACAGTTTTTTCAGTAAAAAATAACTTGTTTGTTCGAGGGCTAGTGGGAAGAATGCGCAGGTGGTGTGTTTTATTAAAACTGGTCTGCCTGTCACGGGATAGTTTACGGCTTCGCGGGTACGGAGTTGGCATCGTAATTATTTGACGTTGGCACTCATTTCAGTAATCTGGGAGTTTCATTTTATTGATTGATTTTCGTGGAGAATTGTTTGTGGGAATAATTCACTATACAAAACTTATTAATCGGTCAAAAAAGTACGATTTGCGGGCTTTAAAAAGTTTGGTGTCATTCCTATGATCTCAGCCACATTTGGATGCCACTTAACGAAAATCGATAGAGAATTCTGACTAGGCTGAAAAGATAAACTTCGAGAAAGAGGTGAAGTTTTGGACAGTTAATCGGCTTTGAATAATAAATATTTGGTTCAGAATTATCAGGACTTCAATCAGCTGAGAAATATTTTGCTACAGTCTATCAACATTATTGGGATAGGCTTAAAATATCAGAGCAGCCGAAACAACACGCTCTCAAACGTAGGTTGTTCCTCTGCCCTCTCAATGGGAGATCGGTCGAATTAATAGCTCTCGTCTTCGATAAAAATATGCTCGTTTAGTTGAAATTCATCGCAGATTAAATCGCGTTAGTCCACTCTGCCAATATTATGCCGTCTAGTTTCACGAGGAATTTCGTTTTCATCTTTGGTGCAAATTAATTTTTTTATACTCATGATGCTGATCCGAAAAAACGTTCTGCTTAGGCTTTGGTACTTGAAAACAGAAATATGCATTCGTTCTCATGATAGAGTACAGTAGGTCAATGCATCCAATTAGTAGTCTCTTCAGCCCATGAAAGCAAAACCCGAGTAATTTCAATACATTGCATGAATAGCTGATGAATAAAACTCGATCTTGAGAGGTTTCATCTATTGGCCAATTCCGTATTTTTGGTAGTGTGTTGTGTTGGACGTGAATTTATGCCGCGTCATTCTGCAGCGTGAATTTCTGTAGCGAGATAACATTTTCTAATTAAAAATGACCAATTAAAAAGGGCTCTTTTATTGCTTCTTCAGTTGCGTACATATTTATCAAATAAACTCGGAAAAATTTTGATAATAAGGCTTTTTTGGATCACTACAACCACTAACATTTTGTATTCGCTACGAGATTTTGAATGCTCTGTATTGAAAAGATTTCTCCAGCATGGAATTTTGTCTCCTCGCAGCCGTGGCAGCACCTGAGAGCTCGTACAGGATCACGTTTGGTGTGCGTGATCAAACAACATCAAATCTCTGAGGGAATTCTCCCGAAGAAGCTCTTTGCTTCTCGTCTCGAGAATCAATATGGTTGCAGGTGCAAGCTCCGTCGGCTGCGTGCCGCCTTGCGAGATCTAGGTGCTGAATTCGGGGAAAATACTGCCGCGATCGTTTGCTCGGAATTATTGTCCCTTAGCAAAACAGAGAGGAAATAGAAAGAATAATAGAAAGTGATGCTGATATTGTAACTAAATTTTTAATCAGAAGGTAACACTTTAGGCTACACATAACTGAACGATACTGATGAATAAAGCAATTCAAAATGAGCTTATAAATTCGATGAATGAAGCACGGTTTTGTAAGCATGTTATACCCACCCTCCAGAAATTGGGAATTCATGGACTTATATTGTATTATCTTTGTCCTGTAGCTTATGCATACCTTGCATAATTCATTTGAAAGATCTTTGTTAATGTATTTTATATGTGTAAACTATTACTGAATAACTTTTGTGCAACATTACATAAAAATAACTTGATTGCCCTCAGACCCCTTACCATACATATAACCAGCCTCACTTACACATCACATGCAGGTGCCGTATACTTTCGAATATACTTTCAAAAAAGAATCAATAATTAGTCAAAATTTCCTATGCTGAATAATTCAGTCCATTTTATTCTTTTGTGGTTTGTAAATCCACAACTAAAGTACGTGTAACCGACAAACGCCGGATAATATATTTGAATTGTATTTTAAAACCAACTGATCTGCAGTAAATTTCGCATTAAGATATATTACGAACACCCAACCTTAATTAACTCGAAATTACCAAAAATGAAGTAACCTAGCATAATCGTACAATGGTGGAAGATGTTAGAAATTGATTAGTTATTTTAGATTCTAAAATTTAAATCATATTTTTGATCATTTATAGATCCCAAAACTCCAGCAATAGTGCTAGAAGAGTACTCCAATGACGGATAGAGCAAATCCTTGTCCAGATTCCATATAAATAATTTTTTCTTCTGGTTTCAAATCAGAAGGGATCCTAATCTCCTCAAGATAAAAGCTAAAAATAATTAACTAATGAGAGGCTTGACCCAACAAGCACTTGCATTTTTGATGTGCTTTTTCCTACAAGCACATAGAATTTTCACAGAAGCGTATGCTTGGTTCCAGACGTAAAAGAATACAAATGTTCCAAAATATTTTTTTTGCAAACAGGCTAGGTAAACAACGTGTGTGACATGCGCTGAGGAAAATTTAATACTAACATATGCAGACACGTGACAAGTAAAATACATAAGCTATTTGCCATTTTCATCTGCAACGTGGCGAGTTCTGTGTTATTCGTACGGCAACAAAGAGTACACAAACATACATAGTATACATACATAGTATACATACATAGTATACATACATAGTATACATACATAGTATACATACATACATAGTATACATACATACATAGTATACATACACACACAGTGTACATACATACATAGTAGTACATACGTACATAGTATACATACAGTACGACGTACATAGTATTTTGCGCCAGAACGCCGCGGTACATGCGAAGGAAATAGTTTGCTAGACTGCCAGCAGATTGGATGCGTGGTTCCAACGTTAAGGAGTGCATCGAAAATTAGTGCTGCAACAAACGATGTACAATGCGCCATGCGCCATTAATTAATACATGAGCCATTAATTGATATGTTTTGGATTAGTAATGGAGTTTAAAAAGGATTTCAATAATCCTGTTGATGGATTCTGTTGTTCATTAATTTTATAATTCAGTCTGCCTAGACTGCAAACTGGACTGACTGATATTTATGTACAAACTGGACTGACTAAGTTTATACCTATGTTTACAGACTGACCAGTCAGTCTGCAAACATAAACTTCCATCGTAACTACGTAAAATGCATAAATGGATATAAACCAAATTTAATCACAAATACCTTAAATCAAAGGACTATTTATAAGTCCACAAGAGTATTCTTTGCACATGTTAAATATAAACGATGTCCAACAGCGAAAAATTTGTCTCGAGCAGTTGGGCCGGACAACGTAACGGTGCGCGGCCTGAGTGGCGCGGTGTCCACAAGCCGTCGCCACCAAGTGATTTGTGAGGCCCGAGGCAGCCGACCGCCCGCCATCCTAACCTGGTACCTCGACGGCAACATCGTCAAGAGCGTCAGCCACGTGGTGAGTTCTGTACCTGGTACCTCGACGGCAACATCGTCAAGAGCGTCAGCCACGTGGTGAGTTCTGTGTTCTGGTACCTCGACGGTAACATCGTCAAGAGCGTCAGCCACGTGGTGAGTTCTGTAACCTGGTACCTCGACGGCAACATCGTCAAGAGCGTCAGCTACGTAGTGAGTTCTCGGTACTGATACATCAACGGCCGCTGCGTAAAATGTTTCACATGCGGTTTAGACGGATTTCATTGTCTATTTTTACCATGGATGCATTGCCTATATTTTTGCTAAGGGCTGAGCCTGAGCTTTGAGAATATCCTGACGACGGTTTAAAAAAGTTTCCTGCCACCTATTATTTGATTTTTTATGAGGAACGGACGTATTCTAGGCTCCATTTCATAGCCTGACGAATTTTAAAACGTGTGCAGCAGCTTGTTAAGTAAAAAATCTCTAGTCAAAATCACTTTGGATGCTCTCGGCGCTTTGTCAAACATCAATGCAGGACATAATGCGTGGACGACACCAAAAATTTGCATTTTTTCTCAGGAGGCTTAGTGATTTTATTCAGCGGCCAGAGGTAATATTCAAGTGCTTAAATTATTCATGCCAATTGCCTCTCGCTTGAATACCATGGAAAATTTAGTCACTACGAGAGCAGACTATTTAAACTTGCACAAGCCTATTCATCTGCAATGAAACAGTTCAAACAGTTGAAAAAAAGAAGTAACGATTTTAACTTGTTTCCAAGCTCACCGTTTGAATTCGAAACTTAGCTCACAACTGTAAACATATGAAGCGTCAAATAATTTGTGGATTTCCCAAATAATTGCATTTTTTGCTTGTTTATGAGCTGTGTTTTGGTGCATATATTTCGGATTATCCCTCAAGCAAAACGGGCTCAGAATCGAAGGATTTGAAGGCAATGGATGTGGAGCATATTCCCGATTTGATTCATACAATAAGTTTTGAATAAGTAAAATATTTCAAGAATTAAACTAATTTATTACACATCAATGTAAATTTATTACGCCTTATTCATATAATGGGCTTGTAAAAACAACAAACATATCTTCTATGAATGAAGGCATCATGCGCAATAGAATATTTTCTCTTCCTATACCAAACTTGAATATTATGGAAGTCAATCTACTTAATAAACTAACCATTCATGAGTATAGTCAAAAAACGACCTAGCATTCGCTGATGCTGCCATTCTGCCTGACTGACGCTCGACACAGGACGTATTTTATCTTACCAAGTAATGCTCCTCTGCATTAGACGCTCCAGCTTGTGGCCGCGCCGTGCAGGAATTCGCTCCAAGTAATTCCAGTCTTCATATGCCAGGCTGGGAGTATAATTAAATGGCCTCGGAAACTTGCAGGAGTTACTTTCTCTTCTTGAGCAGAGTTGATGGATTGTTGTTTTTTTACGTAAAATTTCCATGTTTACCTAATGGCAAAATATTTATCATATGCAAGCTATCGTCTGGATTCCTTTGTGACTGACGTACGCATGTATCACAAGGCAATGTTATATAATAGTATTACCTCATTTTCGCCGAATTAATCGCTGAGGCTTAAGAAATGTTTGAAAATGTGATAATCAGTATGCTATTGCGGAGAACCACGACCGCGTAATGGGAATGCCAAGAAGTCATTTGTACATTGCAAAAATAACGGTTAGTAAAGCTACGGAAAACAGGGCAATGTATTTAGGCAGATATTTTAATGAGCGTCCGACAGCGAAAAATGGTCTGGTTGTTACACTAATCTGCGACCTCGGCCGGGTTAACGGACAATAAATGACATGAATGTTGTATAACATATGAATCCACGAGTTAGACTAAAATACGAGTAATCCTCACGCAAAGCACGACAAGAACGAGAGAAATGTAAAATCAAAACTCAGAGCTTTTGAAGGAAAACTTCAGAGCTACGGACGTTCTCAACGCTCGATTGACGTAGATGTGACGCTTTCTCAAACAATGACACGACAAACATTACCGACGTTTAACATGTGATGTAGCTTCTTATAACGACGCGGTATTCATTCACAACAGCACCACGATGACGTTGAAAAATAGTTGTTATCTGTACAGCTGTCACATACATCAAAATGTTATGTTTCGTCTAAATTCACCTATATACACCAAGTGTTTTCAGTGGATCACAATTGGTACGCTTGGAGGCAAAACGGCAAAATATAATATCTAACAGGGCTAAACAAGAACAAAGGCCTACACAAAAGATCCAACACATATAATATCATTTATAAAATAATATCCTCAACCAATTGTCCACTGAGTAGCCTATGAAGAGGTTTATTACTTCACCTTTAATTTAGAGTCGATTTCAGCGCCGTGTGGCGTCAAGGGAAGTTTTGAGACGCCCGGAGAACGCCAGCCCACCGCATGCATGTCTCTCACAAGTGAAAGAATTCGTTGAGCAGGGACTGCCTTTTGTAAATGACATATTATGCATGCATTCTGCCTTCAAGAATAAATTTACATAGCAAAAATAATAACAAAAAGATAATTTCACAGCTTGAAAGATGAAAACCGTTTGTTTTGAATTGTATTTTAGTTAAATTGTTTTGAGGGCACTAAGGCTGAGGCCGACTGAGGGCTTCTAATTCGACACGTCAGAGCATAATCGCGGGACGCATTAAGGAAATACGATATATTAATTCCCAGCTGAAAATATTTAATGATAAAAAAATGTATCGGTACTCACTGCAGTGAGTGACAGAGAGTGCATTTTCTCGTTGGCGAGTATCATGGATACTCGGCAACGTGAAGCCACAGACAGACAGACAGACAGACGGACATGACGAGCACAATAGCGCCTTTCTTCATAAATGAGAAAATGCGCTAAAAAGTAATTATTAATGGAGATTTAATGTTTTTTAGTTTGAGCCCATCTGCAATTATTGTGATTTTATAAAAAAATTGACAACATTTGGAAATCGTACAACTTGTAATTGTACAAATATTACATTATCAGAATTCAATTATTATTATTTCATTCGAGTACTAAACTATTAGACTGCAACCATGCTTAAACGTTCACAAGCCAGCTGTTTAGCAGCAGCTCACGAATTTATTTTTCTATTAGGTAGCGAAATCGATTTGTTAAAATAATCAGGCCTGAAGCACTGCCACAATTTACTGTTCCGAGAAGCTGGTGCCGATGACGGTGCAGTAGTGAATGTGTTTCCCTGATCAATATAATGGACGCGTTAATATAATGGACGCGTTCACTGCAGCCTGATGGTCGCACTCAGTAGCTTATCTTGAGACCAGCACTAAGCAGTCAGCCGCCCGAGCTTATCAGACGTTAATGTTTCTAGGAATTGGCCACGTCAAGCGATGTGGATTGTCTGTGCTGTTGGACTGACCGGCTGAATTACAGAATTAAATTGCAGGTCTCTACTGGAAGCAACAGAGGTTATGCAAGGCACCTGTCGAGAAACATGGAAATATGTCCATGATTGATTGTAATCGGTGTGATCGGGTGTAATACTGGTGTAATAATGTGCAATAATCTCGATAAAAACAGGAAGTGGCTGGTTCTAAAAAGATAATTTTTTATTGCCATTAAATAATTCTGTATGAGTCGTAAAAAATTGTAATCCAATAATTTACCATTCGTGTTGCACATCGTGGAAAATTATATTCCTTAGCTTCAAAAATTTTGTGTCAACAATCAAAAATGTTGCGACACCAACGCTTGTCTATGTTGAGATGATGTTGATAGAATATCAACCCTTCTTGTTAGTTCGTCAGTTTCGCTTTGTCGTAGTACGGGCCTTAAATTTCCTTATGAGTCACGTAATTCATTCATAAATGACTGATTCCAAACTTGAGTTATATTCACTATAAGAGATATATGATCCTCAAGAGTTCCAAATAATGGACGAACGCCACTCTCCCTTGCAGTGATCATGGATACATTCAACCTCCCGTAATCTATCCTAAGTTTTGCCTACGTCTGAACGCTTTGTATTTGCCGGCAGCAAACAAATCCTTGCTTGCCATGGCGGGTCAGGAACTATTCTGCCGAATAATTTACAAAGAGAGGACATGCAACTCGGCGCGTTTCTTCTCGCCAAATAGACAAACAGATTCTCTGTCCTCTTGCTCGCTCAGGACCTTGTTATAACACAGGTATTAAATACAAGCGCGTATTTTTGGATGGTAAACGCCAATAATTTGCATGCTGACATATATGGTCTTTTAGTAGACTTGATACCATGAGCACAGGTAATTTTATTTTTCGACAGTTAATTTGAAATAATATTGCTATTATTAGAAATTGATTACAACATTTGTGATATCTACAGCATTGGTGAGAAGATCAATAATTCAATCTTTCACGAAATGATATATTTCTAGAATATGTGTAGTAAATGTTTTATCGCATTCACAACTAAATATCAATACAGCATCTTGGTATATGTAATGAAACAATACTTTCAAAATTTATACTACAATTCCTAGTCCTGTTCTCTGTAGATGAGATGCTCAGAACCACAAATTTAAGTTTGACACCCACACCGTTAGAAAAATTACCGTTAACGGTATTACCGGCGTTTCAGTGGCCGGTCGGCACGTGAAAAGAAACACCGAGTTGCCGTTTTTATTGTAATTTAACACTAGAAATCCGTAAAACATCTGATAAAAACGGCGAAACAGCTTATTTTCACGGGACGACCGGCCACTAGAATGCCAGTGGGACCGTTTTTTCGCCGTTTTTTCTAACAGTGCAAATTAGCTGTGATAATTATATCATGTAGCAAGCAATTTTTACTGGTGGAGTATTTTCAAAATATTCCATTGATTCCAAACACACCTAAATGGACTTTGGTCTACATGAGTAAGCCAATTTTAAAGAAGAATAAGGTTGATAAACTTGAAAGGCGATCAAAATGAATTGATGCAATAATTGGATGTAAGTTTCCATAATTTAACCTAAAATTGTACGTTGTATGGCTAGTATAATGGTCGTAATGGAGCAATAGCTAACGAGCTCTGCGCTCACTGCTATCGATGACAACTAAACGCA